TATTTTTAGTGTCTCAAATTAAGACATTAAGACTTAATTTTTAAATATTTTAGGTGTTCTGTTCGAGGACTTCTTGTTTTGAAATTATTGTCTCATCTGTTTATGGAGATACTTCGCTCATTTTTAATACTTCATTCAATTTGGCGATTTATTTTTCAAGACATGAGGAAAATGTCTTATTTTAAGACGTCTTGAAGACTAGTTGTTACATTTTTGTCTTCTTCATTAGGACGTATTTAGCCCCAAATTTAAGTTATTTTTAGTGTCTCAAATTAAGACATTAAGATCTGTTTTATAAACATGCTAAGTGTCTTACTCGAAGATCTCTCGTGTCAGGGCCTTAATTAGAGTCATTTTTAGATTCTCAAATTAAGACGTTAAGACTTGTTTTTTAGATATTTTAAGTGTGTTGTTCGAGGATTTCTTCTTTCGAAATTATTGTCTGATTTGTTTACGCAAATACTTCATTCAATTTGATGACTTGTTTTTTAAGACAGGAAAATGTCTTATTTATCAAACGTCTTGTTTTTCTGCGGAGAAAATGTCTCATTTTAAGACATCTTGAAGACATTGGTTTTTACATTTTTCTCTTCTTTTTCAAGACATTAAGACTAGCTTTTTAGATATTCTAGGTGTCTTACTCGAGGATCTCTTGTTTCGAAATTATTATGTCTTATTTGTTTATGGAAATACTTCACTCATTTTTAATACTCCACTCCATTTGGTGACTTGTTTTTTAAGACATGACGAAAATCTCTTGTTTATCAAACGTCTTGTTTTAAGACGTCTTGAAGCCGTTATTTTTTACAGAAATTTGCAGAAAATCGTTCGTTCGGTTCTGCTATTCGGGTCTGTCATTTTCACGCGTATTTAGCTCGAATGACTGAAAGTTCAGTGGATAATCATGAGGGCAGAGCGTTTTTCAGGTCGAACGCTTCAGATATGCATCGACTTCGTTAACGGACCGCTTGAATAAATAATGAGTGAATAATTGATTACGCGGTCAACATCTGTTATTTAATTGTTCCAGCGGGACTTATTGGATATTTTTTTAATTTATTCTGAGAAAAACCGAAACAGTCCATTAAAAAAATTTTTTTTTTGTATCTTTCTGATTAGTTCTGGGCGTTCTACATTTTTTTATCTAATCAGTTCAATTTGAGTCTAATTCCTTCGTTGTGCGTTCATAGTTGTCTCGCTCGTAACATTTTCTTTTTAGTTATATATTAAATTAAAAAATTTAGTAGAGTATTTTTCATCGATTGCTGCGTTCATATCTTCTGAAAGAAATGGCAAAAAATAAATGGATTTTCATTTTTCTGTGCAAATTATTATATTTTAACTGAATAAGTTTTACAGAAAAATCAAAATTTGATTTTCTTCAGTAATTTCAATACAAATGGGAAATAAATTATCAATTTATGAATTAAAAATCTGGAAATGTATAAATTCTATTTGGATTACCTAATTTTTTTAATCCATTGTGAGAATCTTTATTTTTGTTTTCATAATCGAAATGAATATAATATTTTCCTCTTATTTACGTATTAAAAAATTTAATAGAAAGTTTTTCATGTTTAAAATAAATGAAAGAAAAACCAAACAAATAAATTTTTATTTTCCTCTATAAATTATAATATTTCAACTGAATAAGTTTCACAGAAAAATGAGAATCTCCTGATTTTCTTTAGTACTTTCGCTGCAAACGGTCGAGAAATTATAAATTTATAAACAAAAAATCTTGAAATGCAAATCTATAAATGACATTTGAATTACTTCAACTCCGCGAACAGCACTCAACAACTTTGATTTCATCTCTATCATTTTAACAAACCCAATTTTATGCGGCCGTCCTTGATCTATAAAATTGCCTGGTGCACTTCCACTGGATCCTAACCGATGTATACGATAATAAAATGGGGATAGAGTATCGAGCGATTTAGTGAGCGAGCCACTTTGCAAGTTGTTTAATCAAGACCAGGTGGAGTACTATTGACAGGATTGTGGCAATAGACGAGACTCGCATTTGGACAGGAGAATTTACCAGGGGAATTCGTGAATGTGTAACTCATCGTGTTTATTATCCATCTTAATCAATCTATTCAACTTCACTCTCTCGTTCTTACATTTCTGTTACAAATAAGGAGAGCTCTCATTCGCTTTGTCACTCTTTATTTATCTGCTTCAATCAAACAGGCGTTTACGCATACAAATGGTCAGTGGATACATTAAATGCCTATAAAAAACGAGAACATAAAATATATTCAATAACAGTCTGTAAGTCATATCGTACAAGGTTTTTTTCTTGTGGTTTGTTTCCCTTGAAAACTTTTTTTTGTCTTTTTCTCCCACTTTACTCTCGAGAAGATCACGAACCTTAAAGCCCCAGCACCCGTGTCTCAGACGTTTTTAGGTGGTACAATCGTGCGAGGTTTTTTAATTAATTTAAAATACACACATAGAAAAATATCATGACAATAGCGATAGTACATAAATGCACAATTAATCACGTAAGCACTTTCCTTTCACGTTTTTTTTTCTCAATTATTTTTTGGGGTTTTTTTGAGGGGGGCTATCGTTTTGTCTAGCATTAGAGAGTTTAAGGGGGCGTCGATATAATATTAATATCACTCGTTTACCAATGATATGCTTTGTGAATTGTGGGAGACGTTTCGTAATTACTGGGGTTTCTTTGTGATTGGAATTCGGTTTTTGGGAATTTATCGGAAGATAAATTTTGAATGCTCGGGGATTTTTTGCGGAACTCACGCTTTCGACGGGAAATTCTGGTGGATTTCTACTGATTTTTTGGGGGAAATTCTATTGAAAAGAATTCCACGTTTTACTGCGCGTTTTTTTATAGAATGTTAATTTTATTTTTATAGAATGTTTTGTAGAAAAAATCAGTGGGATTTCATGTTTTTATCATTTTTATGTTCAGACGTTTTTATAGGAATTCCTCGACAGGAATTTTACAAGTTTTCTGCACTTTTTTTTTCATTAAAAAATGAAACAAAAACAAGGCTTCCATTCGGAAGCAAAAAAATTGAAATATTCAAACCGGTGAATTTTCATAAAAAATATCTCAATAGAATAAGTTCTATAGAAAAATCGAATGCTATTGATTTTTTCTATAGAATATTTGCGAATGAAAATTTCTATTTCTATTTTATGGAAAATGTCCAAAAGACACTATTTTATGGAAAAAATCAGGAGAATTTTATTTCGTTATAGAACTTTTTCTATTGAAAAATTTTCTATAGGAATTCCTTGAGCTGAATTCTTCAAATTTTCAACACTCCGTTTTTCTCCTCTTTTTGAAAATATCTCAACAGAATAAGTTTCTATAGAAAAATTGAATTCTACAGATTTTTTCTATAGAATATTTTCTAGTGAAAGTTGTTGTTTCTTATAGAAAATGTCCAATAGACACTATTTTACACAAAAAATCAGTAGAATTTAATTTATTCTATTTCGTCTATTAAGACATTTTCTATAGAAATTCCTCGACAGGAATTCTTCAATTTTTCTCCATTCTATTGTTCCTCTCTTTTCATTAAAAAATAAAACAAAAAAACTCAGGAAATTCGAGCCGAGGAATTTCTACAGAAAATATCTCCATAGAATAACTTCTCCAGAAAAATCCAATTCCATTGATTTTTTCTATAGAATATTCTCCACTGAACATTCCTATAGAAAAAAAACGCGCCATAACCAGCGGAATATTTCACTAGAATCAGCCAAAAACTAATAGAAACTTCAGTGGATCCCCCAGAATTTTCCAACGAAATCGCCAGCTTTTTCCACGAAATTCATTCGCACCTGCTTTTTAATCTCAAGGGACAGAGTTCCTAACGGCTTCCCGTTGGAATTTTAATCCCCATCCTCTGAATAGTGGTACAATAATGGATATGTTTTATTTCTGTTGATTCTCACGGGGCCAACTCCGGCGTTTATCTTTTTATTTGAGAAGTCATTTGGAGCGTCACACGTAGAGGGGCCTAGTACTTACCGCTGCAACTATTTATGTCGTTTAAGTTTACACACATAATTTTTTTTCCAAGGTTTCTCTGTATTCCCTTATAATTAGTTGTTCGATACTCACTAATATTCGCTAACAATTATTCTTGTGACACTGAGAAATGTTTATTTTTAGTTTTTTTGGGAATCCAAAAATTCGGCGAGAGTTCAATTTGATTATTCCTCGTCTCACTGTTTTTTATTTTAATTTTTGGAAATTGTCGTTTCGAGTCTTTTCACTCTGGAGTCAGGGGGAAGAGCTGTTTTGTCTCGAGGGAATCTATTCGACAATAATATTTATAAAACCGTTGATCCTTTGTTTATTTATGATTTAGCACGGAAGCACGATATTTTCAAAAATCTTCAATTCCGAATATTCACCCTCGCCTGAACGCAATTCACCGTTTTAGTTTTTATTCTTCAGTTCTTCCGATTCATCGTCTTATTGCTGAAGTTAATATCAGTGGAAATGTTCTCTTTGGTTTGGGTGGTCTTACAAGCTGTCACATCCAGCGAAAGATATAAAAACACTGAATTACACTGGAATCTAACGTGATGTACAATTTAGAGTTGATTAAAACGAAGCAGTCCACGATTTTTTTGCATTTTTTTTCTGCATCATTTTGATTTTTTCTTAATGATCTATAATTTTTCTATCTAATCTGTTTAATTTGAGTCTAATTTCTTCGTTGCGCTTTCGTGGTTGTCTCACTCGTAATGTTGTCTTCTTGTTTATGTATTAAAAAATTTAATAAAACTATATTATCGATTTTGTTAATTCCTTTGAAAAAATAAGGAGAAAAAATTGATTTTTTATGGACGAAAACTAAATCTATTTTTGGAAAATTTCCAAATAAATTTTCTTTTATTTTCAAGTTCTTCATATTCTCTCATCAGTATTTTGAATGAAAAGAACAATTTTATCGTTTTTTATGTTCACTTCTTCTAAAAGAATGAAGAGAAAAAATGAATACTATAAAAATGAATAATATAATTTTATATTCAATAAATCTAAAACGTTGTATTCACAGATGTCACAGAGCCCCGACAACAGTGAATAAAAAAAAGAATGACTGTAAAAAAAATAATGTATGTGTGTGGTGATAAATAAACAAAAACGGTATGCAAAATTAATTGAATAGTTTATCTGTTTAATGATACCTCTCATCATCAATTAAATAAAAATGATATAAAGATTCTTTAGATACAGAGCTATACCTACAACTTAATATGGCATCACAATGATTGCATTTTTCATAAATTCACGAACTTAAATATAATCTACGCTCTCTCGATGTCATGTCAAAATTTTCTGTCATTACCATTTTTCACTGATAGTTAATACTATGTCAATAGTGTGATTAACGACTGATGCAATTCAATTATTTACAACATTCATAAAACCTCTTAAATACACTGGATAATTCGATAATACGTACTAGCTAGATACAAAATAATATAGCGAATTAAATAATTTATTGATGAAATACATTCACTGAAAAAATTCATCGAAAATTGGTGCGTTGAGTAAATGCTATCGAGGGTGCGATTAATTGATACCTGACGGACGTATTTTCAAGCTTAAATCACAAGTAAAACATCTGTAATATTGCATTGCATTGGATTATCTATCAAGCCATTGAATTTTTATAAATTTTAATTCGTAAAAATTTCTCTCCAATGTACAATTATTACTGGTGTTACTATTGATGGTGTCTATTTGCTCTATTGGTGTTTTATTAATCGATTTATCATTCATTTTCTCCTGTTAGTTTCATGGATTCTAAACTAGATTTCACAAGGCAAATGTTGCTAAGTCTATGTGTCAAGCAAATTGATCCTTGAGTTGCACTGATCGGCTCAAACGAGTCTTCTGATGATTATAAGTCAGTTGTTTGTTCCTGTTGGGCTATTAATGCTGAGGATTTCAGTAATGAGCTTTGTTTGGTTGTTCTTGTGGGGTTTCTCGAATGGGCGACATTTGCTTTAGGCCTCGCTCCTCATTTTTACGATTATACGAACATCAACATACACACGTGGACACTGGGGGAATTATTATGACGTTTATGTTTGTTTAATGAATTGTTCTTGTAGCTAAGTGGAATGGGAAAATGATTGCGCTGTCGTTTCGAGTATTTTTTGGGATTAATTGACAGAATAATCATCAGAGAATTCAATGATTTTGAGTTTAATTTTTTGTGGGGAGTTAATCGGTAAGAAATTGTAAATTCCTTCGGGTATTTCACTCAACTACAGTGACTCCCACATTTCTTCGTCGACTGATTGAATAAAATCGACGTCATCGACAAATTTCAGGGAATTCAAATGAACTTTTTGTGGGTTTACGAGAACATACACACGTGAACACTGGGGGAATTATTATGACGTTTATGTTTGTTTAATGAATTGTTCTTGTAGCTAAGTGAAATGGGAAAATAATTGCGCTGTCGTTTCGAGTATGTTTTGGGATTAATTGAGAGAATAATCATCAGAGAATTCAATGATTTTGATTTTAATTTTTTGTGGGGAGTTAATCGGTAAGAAATTGTAAATTCCTTCGGGTATTTCACTCAACTACAGTGACTCCCACATTTCTTCGTCGACTGATTGAATAAAATCGACGTCATCGACAAATTTCAGGGAATTCAAATGAACTTTTTGTGGTTTTACGAGAACATACACACGTGGACACTGGGGGAATTATTATGACGTTTATGTTTGTTTAATGAATTGTTTTTGTAGCTAAGTGAAATGGGAAAATAATTGCGCTGTCGTTTCGAGTATTTTTTGGGATTAATTGACAGAATAATCATCAGACAATTCAATGATTTTGATTTTGATTTTTCAAAATCGAAGAATTTCAGGTAATTAAAATGAACTTTTAATGGTTTTACGTGAAATAATGACTAAAACATGAGCCTATGATATTCACTAACTGGAATGTATCGACAGAATCCGTATTTTCTAATCGCAATTGCGTATCTACTAATTGAGAAAACATATATTTTGACTAAAAGCTTGAATAACTAGCCTCAACAGAAGAGAAATCAAACGGATTATCGACTATTACGAATTTTCTCATTTTTTTTCTCGCTAATAATCATATACAATAGTATATGTAACAGTTGGTCTCAGTCGTGCCATGTGTCCCACAGTGAGACCCCAGTAGCTAACATCAATCAACGTAATTGGTGTTCATCCTTGTGTAATCAACAGCACACCGTTGACCATTAAAATGTCACTAACTACATTGAAAATAAAAACGACAATTGTACGTTCAACGAAAAAATTATCCCTCGTACACAACTAATAAATAATTTTCATTTAAAAAATGCACATTTATCATAAGTTAGTTGTCGAAGTGAGACATTTTTAATGCCTTGTCCCTTATCAATTAGTCTAAAGCTTTCATTTAAGTGCAACTCGCCAAATTCTTCGAAGCAGAGTTTAATTTTTTGTTTCTTCTTCTTTCCTCTAATTATCTTCCCTAATTAAAATTATAGATTGTGAAATTTTCGAACCTCACAGAGGCGGAAGTCATTCACAGAGTGGACTGGATAATCGGTGGAATTACCACGTGATTTGGTAATTACAAAAATCCTTTCACTGGGGCCATTCTTTTATGAATGGGGATTCCTGCGGGGATTGCAGCGAAAGGATTTTCAACGTGTAGATCCTTGATTTTGGGAGTTTTTTGCTTAGTTTTGGGGGGGCTTTTTGCCCCCTCGTGGCTTGATACTCTCGGAGATCTGCCACATCGCCTCCTCGCAGAGGAAGTCACTGAAGTTGTTGAAGAATGTTATTATGCGCTCGTTCTTTTTGAAGGAGTATGTGCTGAAAAGGAGAATTCAGTCATTTTTTCATTTGTTTTATTAAATTTCAGGGACAATTATGGGTTTGAATTAATTTTCAAATGAAATTAATGAGGTGTTTAATGGAATTTTGAGTTAATTGAAATGTTCAGGGAATTGTTGTATGAATTGGAATGATTTTCGAGCTTTTCTGTCATCACTTTGGATTGGAATTCATATTTTTAGTGAATTTTTTGAGAATTGAATGATTTTTCAGTGAAAGAATGTATTGAAATTTAGCATAAATTAGTGTTTGTTGATTATTCTAAGGATTTTCACCTGAAATTTGCTATTTGTAAATGATAGGAAATTTACGGAAATTGACAGGATGTCTAATTAAAGTTAAAATCAAATTATTGATGAATTTTCAATTTGCGTTGAAAATTTACAAAGATTGACCATTTCCGATCAATTTAAAAAAAATTTATAATTTGTATGTGAAGTATGTGATGAAAAGGATAATTAAATATTTAGTTATATCACTCGATTTCTGAGGGAATTTTTCTTCACGTGTTTTATGAAATTTCAGTGACAGTTATGATTTTTAAGTAATTTTCATGTCAAATTAGTGAATTGTTTAATTTCAAGTTAATTGAAAAGTTCAGGGAATCGTTGCCTAGATTTGTGTGATTTTGAAGAATTTTTATCAAAATTGTGAATTTTTGAAGAGTCGACTGACTTTTCAATCGCAAAATCTATTGAAATTCAGAATAAATTAGTTCTTCCTGCAAATTCCGAGAATGTATGCTCAAAATTTTAGGTGAAATTATATTTCAAGAATTCTAAACTTTTAAAGCAATGTAATTAGCATTTAAATAACCAATCAAAAAATCAATTCAAAACAAGTATAATTCAAACAAATCCGATCTTACCACTTCTTAAACCTCTTCATATTCTCAACAATATTGAACTGCTGCCACCGTTTCGAGAAATTAATAGTGCCATCTGGCAGCAGATCACTGTTTCCAATGTGCACGAACGTCAAATCTTGCAGTACAAGTCCTCTGCAAACAAAAAAAACAGTTCCAATACCTCTCCCATTACATTTTTCCCACAATTAATTCGGCACATTATTTTCCTTTCGTCTAGTTCGCACAAAAGTCCCTGAAAACTCACATGTAAGGTATGCACGGTGGTTGTGTCTCAGCCAGAGCCTGTCTGTACGCCCTGAAGCTGCTGGAGCTATCAATCAGCGCGCAGTACTCTTTCAGCCCCTCAGTAATGTGCTTCTGCCACTCGAGCCTCCTGATGGGCGCGCTGTCCAGTGCCGAGAGCAGAGCCAAATAGCTATTAAAATTATTGATCTTCCTCAAGTGCTTCATTATCTTAATGAACTTGACGACGTATTTCTCCCTGTCCTTCGCCTCGTTCTCCATCCTGTGCTCCAGAATCCTCGACCTCGCCCAGTACGACATCTTGTTGAAGTGCTCAGTGAATCTTGTGAGATTGGGGGACCTCTCCTCATTCTGCTCCTGCGCCCAAATTAATACTTCTGGTATTTCAATCTTCATGAATAGTTCGGCATCCAGCAGGGTCATCTGCTCGGCTATCTGTTCGCTCTTGAAGTCGAGCAGTGAAGCTTGCTTCGTGGAGACACTGAGGGACGAGAGAATGGGCTGGGCTGACTGCATCTGCTTCAACTGGTGCTTCTCCAGGATCTTCACGCGGAGGGCTTTTGCCATTGTCAGGTCGCCACTGCACACCAACTGCTGGACAAACTCCATCAGCGTCTGCAGGAGGACGTCGTCCAGGTCGGACATTGTCAGGTCACTGACGACGCGAACTAGGAGGGAAAAGGCCTCGCGTGCTGCTCGCTGCTTCACGACGTCCGGAGAACACGAGAACCTCTGGTGACGTCGGTGGAGCTTCTGAATCAGCTCCAGGGGGGACATGAAGGTCCTGTAGGTCGTCAAGAACGCTTCCTGATACAGGAAATCTGGGGAGATTGCGGAGGGATTAGAGGGCGCTTTCGAGGCTGCAGCGAGAGAAAATTATTTTTGCCCAATTTTTTTTTATTTATTTGAGAGGTTTTTTCTCAATCGAGGCGTTCAGGCGAGACCGATTAGGCTTCACTTATCACAATCATTTTGCTCGGGTGACTGTGGGGCACGTGACCTTGGAGGAACGCCTCCAATGATTAGGGGAGGTTGGGGTAAAATGGACACTTTTGATTTTTTTTTAATGTTAATGACGGGTTGACATGTTGATAACATTTAATAATTTTTTTCTCATTGCAAATAACAATTTTGTCCCTCTGTGATGCGCCTAAACTGAGCTCAATTGATCAATTTGTTTCTCAGTCTAAAGTGTCCATTTTACCCCACTCTTCCCTATTTTTTTCATAAATTCTTCGTTTTCTACAGGGAGACAACAAATTTCGATTGGTTTTTTTAGCAATGTAATTTTAATTGAAACATGATGAGAATTGCGTGGGCACAACTCGACAGGAGAAATACGGTATTGAAAAATAAATACTTGGCTCAAGTAAATGGATGTTTGGCAAAAGTAATTTTTTTTCTCAGTGTGACGGGGGTAGGGGCGTGATGAGATGACCTACCTGATTCTTTTTCGTCTAGTGCAGCATGAAATGAATCAGACATTATTAGTTTTGCGGTGGTATGGGGTGTGTGACGAGGGGGGAAACTGGTGAATTTTTGGGGGAAAGGAAGTCGTAAAATCGAAACTTTTTGCGGGAATTCAGTTGAAGAATTCGTCTGCAAAACGTGTTTTCCTATTTATCAATCCCTAATTCAGAATTAACGTTGATTTGGTTTTAGTTAATTTGAATGCATGAATCGAGTACAAACTTCGGGGTTTCGTTGATTTTTTTTTTGGATTTTAAATTTAGAGGGTTTTAATTATGAGATCATTCATTTTAAGAATTGAGCTTCTGAAATGTTTTATTAATCGTCAATAATTCATAAGTATTGTCGACTCGAAAAATTAATTAATTAATTAATTAATTGTGGAAACTTCTTTCATTTTTTTCTTTATTTAGATTTGAAATTTAGAGACTTTTAATTAAGCTTTCTTTCAATTAAAGAATTGACGTCTAAAAATATTTTTATGATCCCTAACAATTCACAATCAATATTAATTTAATTAATTAATGTGAATGCATTAAAAATTCATTGTGAAAACATTTCACATTACGATTTTTTCTAAAAAAATTTCTCGTTTATTCTTGAAATCTAGAAGTTTTCAAACACAAAATCTTTTAAAGCAAAAATTGACCTTCAACAACATTTAACTGATCCCTAACAATTCCCAATTAATATTGATACAATAACTAATCTCAATGCGTTGAAAAATAAGTTTAAAAAAAAATTGAAAATTTTTTTCCCCCAAAATTTCTTTCGATTGACCAAACCAAATTGACTAAATCCTCCACTGAACCCCTCACCCCTCAAAAAACCAGTTTCACCTCCCAAAAAAAAAAAAAAATTACCGTGTTTATTAGCTTTAGTCGCATGAATCAACAGAGCGTCAGGATGTCCCCCTCGTATGTCCGGTCCATCCTCCTCATTCTTCTTGAACACCAGATGTTTACTGATGTCCAGTTCATCGAGGATGCCATCGTCCTGCTCGATATCCCTCAGCTCCAGAGTGCTCTCGTCCACCGAAACCGAGGACAGTGCATTGCTGCCAGGCCTCGAGTTGCTCAGTGCAACATCCAGCGTTACATTGTTATTGTTATTGAGATTGTGAACAGGGGAGGCCTTGTCCTTCTTATCGATAATGGTGACAGGCTCCTCCTTTATCTCCTTAACCGGTGTCGAGGTGATGACTGGGTCTGGGGTGTGGAGAATCTGCATGCTGATAGCAGGCTTTGGTGATATTGGAGGTGGTGTCGTGGTGGATCGCGTCGATCGTGATCGCTTTGGCGGCAGGGCAGGGGGCAGACTAGAGTGATTCGTCACTTCTTTGATTGTTGGGCTCATACTGATCGATATACTGGAAAATAAATGGAAATTTCTCGAATAGTTTTTTAGTCCATTTTTTTTTAAGTTTGATCTTTTGAGCTTTTTCATTACAAAATCTTTCAATTGACGAATTGACCTTCAATAATGTTCTATTGATCATCAATAATTCGTAATTAATTTTGATTTAAAAATTAATTTGAATGCATTGGAAATTAATTTTGAAAACGTCTCTTTTCGATTTAAAAAAAAAATTTGTTTATATTTGAAATTTAGAGTTTTGTCATTACAAAATCTTACAATTGAATAATTGACCATCAAAAATGTTCTATTGATCATCAATAATTCGTAATTAATGTTGATTTAAAAATTAATTTGAATGCATTGGAAATTGATTTTGAAAACGTCTCGTTTCGATTTATAAAAAAAATTTTTGTTTATATTTGAAATTTAGAGGGTTTTAGTTGCTGAGCCTTTCAATCAGGGAAATTACCTTAAAAAATTATTATTAATTTACAATAATTCGGGAAATTAATTCAAATTAATTGCAAATTTATTGTCGAAACTTCTCGAATAGTTTTATTCAATTTTTTTTTAATTTAAACTTTGGAGTTTTTTTATTACGAAAATTTTCAATTAAAAAACTGACATTGAAAAATGTTTCATTGATCTTCAATAATTCATCATTAATATTCATTCAAAAATTAATTTCAAAGCATCGAAATCTATTAGTGAAAACTTTTTTTTCCTTAATTTATTTCTTGTTTCAATTTGAAATTTGGAGTTTTTCAGTTTTTCAATTAAAAAATTGATCTTCCAAACTATTCTACTAATCCCCAGTGATTAATAACTAATGCTAATTCAAAAATTAATTTGAAAAACTTCTCTTTTTTCTGTTTACATTTGAAATTTCGAAGGTTTTAATGACAAAACCTTTCAATTAGAGAACTGACCTTCAAAAATGTTTCATTCATCTACAATAACCCATGAAATTAATTCAAAAGAATTGTGGAATCTTCCTTTTCCGATTTTTTTGTTAATTCTAATTCGTCACTTCTGTAATTGTCAAACTCATACTGATCGATATACTGAAAAATAAATTGTCGTCGATTTCACCGAATTATCGATGGGTCTATTATCAGTGTTTATCGATTCTCGTAATGTTGTTGAGAGTGCCGAGTCATTTCAGGCTATCACGCATTCGTTGTTGTGATAACAACTGACAATTGTTGGGATGAGGGTCAATGAATACAATTTGCACTTTGAAAACAGAAGAATTACTCTGCGTTGATAAATGGTTGAGGGGCAAAGTGTTTTACAATTTGTTTACCTTTTTATCTTTTCAATTTATTTATCTTTTTTTATTTTTATTTACTGAAATTGATTGAGAAAAAGCAGTTTAGAGAATGGAACTTGTCGACATATTTATAATTTTCAAATAAATAGTTTTGTATTGCAGTGACAATCAAAATACGAAAACAAGAATTATTTCATAATAAAGATCGATTATTTGAAATGAGGAAATGTTTTAAAATAACAAGGTAATATTTATATTGCTCATTGAACTTAAATTGCAACAAGTGTCTTCAACAAATAGAAATTGTCACCATCTGTCCATTTATTTTCCAAACTTTCTAAAAAACGCAAGAATGCAAATTTCCCATTTTCATCATTAACATTTTATTAAATTAATCGTTAAAGATGACTGGATTAATGTGAAATATACCTGAAGCATTAGTTTAGTTTAATCTTCGGTATTTGGGGCTTTGGAACAGTTTTTTACGAGTATTCTGTCCTTTTATTCGAATCAACACTTATTTTTCCAACTTTCTACGTCAAACTACATGCGTCCACAGTACAATTTCCGATGTTATCGTTCCTACCTTGTCCCATCGTGTAGACTCGTCATGGTATGCACCATGGAGGAGCACGATTGTGTCGTTGTGAGTGCCATTTCATGCTGCTGCCATTCAGCCTGCATTGAATTGTATGCAGCCACCGAGTGTCGCGTGCCAAGACCGGAAATAAAGTCGTTGGTCGTGTGCGAGCAGTTGCCGAACATCTCCATGTATGCCATTACTGAAAATATTTCCATTTTTCGGGGGTTCAGTGGCAAGAAGCTTGATTTCAGTGCAGAGTTGAGGGAGTTAAAGTCAATTTCATTGTGTAACAGACAGTTTTTGTGGAATATCGGGGAATCCAAGCGAGATAAGGCAATCTTCGTTATGACCTTTTTTGTAGAACGAAGTGAGATCTACAAAAAAGGTATTCACGAAGATTCCGCTATCTCTCATGAATTCCGAGATATTCCCAAAAAACCGTTAGTGAAATTCATTTTTCACTCTTACAACTTCAACACTGATTCTAATGTCGCAGATCGAAGTGATGCGTGAACAAAATATGAAAAAATCTGTCTGGGATTGGATGTGTAGACACGATGTCGCGAAAAAATTGTCTCCTTTTTATTCAACTGATAGACACGTGTAGAATTAATGAGAATAAACTCCGTTTCAGTGTACTTGAACGAGTTAAAGTCAATTTCACTCTGCGATAGGCAGTCTTTGGTGAATATCTCGGAATCCTAACAAGATACCGAAATTTTCGTCAAGACCTTTTTTGTAGGTCTCATTTCGTTCTACAAAATAGGTCTTGATGAAGATTCCGCTATCTCTCATGGATTCCGAGCTATTCCCAAAAAACCGCCGGTGAAATTGATTTTTTACTTTTATAGCTGCAACACTGATTCTAATTTCGCAGATCGAAGTGATGCGTGAACAAAATATGAAAAAATCTGTCTGTGATGGATGTGTAGACACGATGTCGCGAAAAAATTGTCTCCTACTTACTCAACTGTTACGCACGTGTGAAATTAATGAGATGAAAATAAAACATCAGGCCTGAGCGAAATTGCACACTCATTACGCGCTCACGTTGGGGCTCTCAGAGTCTAACTGTAGTTTGTAATGAAACTTTACGACCTGCATCTTCCTCTACCATTTATCGAATTCATGAGGATTATGTAAGAGAAACTACGTTTAATGTTCTATTAATTCACGTTGAGAATTCAGACCCACGTCAATTACGCTTTTAGAATTCAGAAATTCATACCCGAGAGGTATTACTATTTTGTTGCTAACCGGTCGAGGACATCTTTTTGTTGGCATTGGAGTACGTCAGGTCGGCAATCGTCATTTTTAATTGAATTCACTGAAAATTAATTGTGAAAACTTCTTGAATAGTTGTTTAGTTCATTTTTTTTCTTTTTTTAGATTTGAAGTGAGGAGTTTTTCATGACGTAATCTCTCAATTAATGGATTGAGCTTCAAAAATATTTTACTAATCCCCTATAATTCATAATTGATATTAATTTATTTGAATGGAATGAAAATTGCGAAAATTTTTCATTTCCGTAAAAAAAAAAAATCCTGTTTACATTTGAAGTTGGGAGGGTTTTAATTACAAAACCTTTTAATTAGAGACCTGACCTTCAAAAATGTTTAATCAATTTTCAACAATTCATGAAATTAATTCCAATGAATTATAAATGAATAATGGAAATTTCTCTTTTCTACTTTTCGTCAATTTTTTTCACCTTTAGATTAGAAATTCCAAATTTCTAAATCATTTTTCAATTGAAAAATTGACCTCCACAAACGTTCCATTAACTCCCGCCAATTGCCAATGCATGTTGATTAAAAAATTAATTTGATAAACAAGAAATCCTCAGTCCAGAGTTGAATATAAATTCATTCAAATGCATTCCAATTTGAAATTCATGGCGAGTGTGACGTGAATTTTGCCAACCATTAATTAGCCTTTAGCTCAAGACTCCTCGAGTTCACCCTCAAGACTCCCTGACTTTAATAAATACAAGATAACGAGGATGCTATCCCCTAGAACTGTAATAACGAGGTCCCTCCTCGAAACAACTCGAGGAAAATTCCCTGTTCGTGACTTTTTCACACCGAGTAATGTTGCAATGAAAAATCGACCGGGAAATGAGTGGAGAGAACACGTCGACGAGTGTGTGAGACTACAAAAAACAATGTAAAGGCCACTACTGTTTTCAAAACCACTCGCGTAAGCTTCAAACTATTACAAAATTATTCAAAATAAAAAATCCAAGCTCAATGTCAAACGCTATTGTTATGTCTGTCAGAGGTTTCAGTGAGTAAATAATCATGCTGCAAGGTACTTCACTGTTTTTTCGGTGTATTTTTCAACTGTGTGAGGATGAAATATTTTCCTCAGTCGAGAATGAAGGCAAGTGTTGCAAAATGAACAATTTCACATTTTTTCAATTTTAATAATTAATTACTTTTTTTAATTAAATGAAATTTAAAAAAATGAAACCCCCATTTTTTTCTATTCAAGCATGGTTATTTTTTTGAGTCGCAAAAATTTCAGATCTTGAATGAAGAATTTTTTTAAAATAAGAATGCTAGAGGGAATTTTATTTTTTTAACGTGATGTGAAGGTGAAAAATATGGCAAGTGTTGCAAAATGAACAATTTTACATTTTTTCAAATGTTAATAACTGTTTTTTTTTATGAAAGGGGTGAATTTTTCAAATGGGAATTCATTTCTGACTTATAAAAAGGAGAAATAAAGAGTTCAATGTCTCCATTTTGCCCCAGTTACCCCCATTTTTCTCTATTCAAAGATGTTTATTCGTTTGAATTGAAAAAAATTCACAAATTTAGAATTGAGAATTTTTTAAAAATAAATGCAACAGGGAATTTCAATGTTTTGTCGTTTTATTTTCCGACGAAAATAACAAGTGAGGGGAAAAATATTTCTCAATACAAAATAAAGCCAAGTGTTGCAGTTTTTTAATTCAAATTTTTTTTAAACACAGCATGATGATTTTCTCCTCCAGAAAATTCCTCATCCACAATGAAAATAAAAATAAAAAACGTGTGGGCATCTCCCACTTACCGGAATATGCCACCGATTGGAACACTGGGGGATACAAAATATTAACGTCAGTTTCAAAAAAGCCTATAACTTCACTGTTGGAAATTTCCCAAAATTCAAGCAATAACTGCATTCAAATTTTCAATTCAATGAACATCAATTCGTGAATTTGCATATTTATTTCGTAATTTTTAATTCATTTAAATATCAAATCATTACGTAAAATTCCATATAAATAAACAATATCTGCATTCGAATATTCAATTTAACAAAATTGAATCAAATCAAAGATCAATTTATGAATGTGAAAATCAATTCCATGAATTGACCTTCATTTAAAGATCAAATGAAAGTAAAATTCACAAAGAAAAGAATAAAAAAGCGTGAAATTTCATGTGAATAAAAACTTTCTAAATGTACCTGAAATTTCAGGAGTAATTTTCCAACAGTGTTGACAAATCAACAACTTCCTCTCACTTCACAAACAAAAAAAAAACACTAGAGGACACCAGAGACGAAGTGACTCGCCTCCATCGAGCACCGATCGACCACTGAGCACTATTTTCTATGGATTTATTTTCAACTCCACAATCGAGTTATTCAAATCGTCTGTCGGCGTCAGTCGGCCTCTGTTTCCTCGTTGTATTTTTTGTCGAGATAATTGACAGCAGTTGAGTAAAGACACTAATAATTGCCGAGTGATCCAACGATATTACGATTTTTTATCATTACTCAAATACTGATTGCTTTTATCATCTGTTTTGCTTCTTATCGGCATGAGACTTGTGATTACTTACTGTGTCGTTTCTTGAGGGGTAGGGGAGGTGGTTTACTGGCGTCTGGACTGTCACTGGAGTTTGCGTGGAGGCTGCAGGTGGACAGGTGTTCATTTTCAGGTACATTATCGTACTGCGAGGGCTGACGATCTTTTCGCCTCTTCGAACGCTTCTCGGGAAGGGCTGGGGGAATTCCGTTCGAGTCTGGTCCAGTGATTGCTTCGATTTCCTGGAGAATTGAAGGGAGAGGATAATAATAATGAAATGCTATTAAACAGCTATTTTACATTCTATTCCAACGAAATGGAAATTGAATTAGAGTCCAATAGTTTCTTTGATCGTGCTCAATCTCAAATATCTCGGGATCGGCTGAGTAAACTTGGACGAGTTTAGTGCCATTTTGAGGGGATTTTTATGAGCTTTAAAATGAGCTCCGACTCGTCGAAATGGCATCGTTGGGTCGGAAGATATCAAAGATTTAGTTGAGGAACAATTTCAGAAGTTTTACTTTTTCAATTTTTTAATTGGAATAGAATTTTATTGGAGTTGAATTTTTTCCTCCAATGAAGAGTTTGATTACCATTCATATCACTTGAGAATTTTTTCCTCTTTCATGTCTTATCAGTTGTGGAAATATTTGGAAATGAAATGAACGAAAGGAAATAATTTTTAAAAATTCGATTAATCGTTTAAAATTTTTTTTTTCAGTTGAACGTATTCAAATACTGTTTTTATACGTAATAATTCCAAAATAATAGGAAAAAAATTAAATTTGATTTAAAGGTGGGGAAATCATGAAATTTCAATGAAATTCCTGATTTTTTATTGCATTTTCAATGAAAATATGAATTTTCATCATCAAATTATGCAGAACGTTAGCTAATTGAATATTCACGAATATTTTCCTGAAAAAGTCTCAATTTTTATCAAATTTAATACAGTAATTCAACTGAAATTTGCCATTTCTGTCCATTTTTCCATTAAATTTGACAATTTCAATAACGAAATTCCTCGAAATTTCAGTGAAACTGTGTGATAAAATTTATTAATAGTATAAAATTATCGAATTATGGACTAAAGTTAATAAGAAGAAGTATTAATAAGAAGAAGTAAAGGACGGGCATAAATAAAAAGGAAGAGCGGATGAAACTTGAGAAAAAAATAAGAAAAAAAGCACACAACACCCACATTTACCAGTTTTTCCAGTAGTGCTGGATCGCCATTGCCAGTGATACTGGTAGTGGTGAGACTGCTCTTTGAGCTGGTGGTTCTTTGCGTCATGATGGAGCCCTCAGTGCACTCGGAGAGTTTTTGCTGGGAGAAGGACTGCTGCTGAGAACTGAATGACTGCGAGTTGTAACTGACACTGCTCTGCTGGGAGGATCTCTTGGATGTCATGCTCGAGGCTGTGTAGCTCTGCGACGAACTTCTCTGGGAGTGCAAAGATACAAAACCAGATTCTTGGGTCTGGGTTGACAGTCTCTCCATTTTTCCCTCCACTCCTGCAATTATTTTCCGCAATTTTTTTTTATTTCAACAGTTTCGTGAAGTCAATTATTTAATGAATTGATGAATTGTTAAGTTTTATTTATTCATCAATTATTAAAATCTATTTTCAATTATTCAATTAAATTGTCTAGTGCATTTAGAAGGAATTTAAATGAACTTTTATCTTTAATTCAACATTTCATGTCAATATTTTTTGGAAATTAATTTGCTGGAATTCAAAGACTAATTTGAATTGAACAATTTCATTAAATCATTATTCATTAAATTCATAAATTGATCAATTTCATTCATTTATCAATTATTAAGATTAGTTTCCAATTATTAAATTAAATTGTCTAGTTCATTAAGAAAAAACTTTCAATCAACTTTTATCTTTCATTCGATTAAATTGACCTAAAAATAGATGATTTCTTGTCAATATTTATTGGAAATTAATTGAAAAACTGATTCTAATTGTCTCCAATTAATTAAATTACTTCCTCAATTCATCCCATTTCCCAATTAATTATCAATAATGAATAATAAAAAATGATCAAATCATGTGTTAATAAAGACAAAAAAATTCCCCACCACAAAAATTACCCGAAGAATTCCTCAACATTGTTTTCAAATCAAAACAAAACATTTTAATTTCAACAATTCTCTAATTAACCGACTCCCCCCTAAAATGTTACGTTTTTACTGGAATTGTCTCAAATTAATTAAATTACTGAATTTAAAAAATTTAAAAATAAAATTATACAAGAACTTCCTCAATTCATCCCATTTCCCAATTAATTATCAATAATGAATAATAAAAAATGATCAAATCATGTGTTAACAAAGACAAAAAAATTCCCCACCACAAAAATTACCCGAAGGCTTCCTCAACATTTTTTTCCAATCACAACAAAACATTTTAATTTCAACAATTCTCTAATTAACCGACTCCCCCCGTAAAATGTTACTTTTTTATTGAAAGTTCACGACACGAAGGTTCATGGAAAACTGCTCCAGGCGTAGGCGACTCAACTCACCGCCCACTCCACTGGCCTGAAAAGTTATTTGAAGATTCTTGCGTAAAATTGGACTTGTTTTCCCGAGGTTCTTTACCCAACGATCTATATCCCACTTCCGTCACATTAATGCATCCTCAAGAGTTGAAAGACTCACCAGCGAATGGATTTATCATCTCCTGGGGTGTCTGCTGGCCCAGCAGCATAGTGCTCGGTATACTTGTTTCAGACCCGTCCCAACAGCCGCAGTTATTCGTACCATTGACTTGCAGACCTAATTCAAAGGTTTAAAAAATTTACAAATGAAATTACGAAAAGAAATAATCCAAATTGAATTTCAAAGAAGATGAATCAAAAATGGATCGTCTTCAATCGTTGATATCTCGAGATCGGCTGAGTGAAATTCAACATTTTTTTCTTCATTTTGAAGATATTTTCACAAGTTTTCAAACGAGCCTCGATTCGTCGAAATCGCATCGTTGGGTCCGGAGATATCGAGGATTCAGTGACCAACCATTTTCCTCAGTTTTACTATTTCAATTTTTTTTCGTCTTCCTCACGAGTCGTCGTCTCTGGAGAAATTAGTAAATTTTTTTATCACGCATAAACTCGAAAACTGAAGCCAACGCTGCTTATTAAACAAGCTCCGTTAATTTACAACAAAAAAACTAAGCGCATACCCAAACAAATGTTTCTCAACTCGTCGAATATTGCGTCGAAATTCTTACGGTGATCGTTCCCCGAGTTGAACCGCTTATCCATGATAAACTTTACAGAATTCGAGAGTTATAAAGAGTGAATTTGGTGATTCGAAGGGCACGGTTTACCACTCGTATCTGACACACGAGTTGTTTCACTTTCATCGGAGTTCGGGGCCAGACTGACTGGTTCCCCATATGCTGGAGTGTCTCCGAGACACTTCTCACTTTTTTTCTGCTGACTAATCGCTGGAACCCCGAGTATGACGGTACCTCTCACATGTACAAATGTTTTTTCTTTCTGTGATCAATCGGGTCACTGTGCAAACCCTCTTAGAATGCTCGACTTTAACTTGACAATGACAAAAAAAGCAGGACGAAAAGGAAGAGGGGCTTCAGCTTTAATTATCGTCATTCAGGTCTTCTATTTTTGTTATTTGTTACTGTTGTGGTAATTGGGGGTGGGGAAGTGCGATTTTTCAGCCTCGGAGGGGCAAAATGGAATGGAAAAATGACAATTGTATGACATTTTTTCGAATTTTTTAAAGAAAAATAATTATTTTTTTATGATTAATGAAGAAAAAATCAATAATTAATTAATTCTTAATGAATAATTAATTTTTAATAATAATCGATACATTTATGATTATTATTATTAAAAATAACATAAATAATTAAATTTAATTAGTAATTTTGATAAAACTCATTTTTGAAATTGATAATTAATAATAGTAATTATTATTTTTAGGAATTTTTTGTATTTATAAGAAGGTTTACATTGATTTTTGATGGGGATTTCTACGAAGTCATTCATTTATGAGAATTTGAGAGAACATTTGCAATTCTGCTGTTGAAATTCCATTGAATAGGCTTTTTAATTCTTTAGCAAATAATTTAGTAATAAATAATTTAGTTCAACTCATGTTTCTCATGGAATTAAATTGATTTAGAAGTTTGGAAGATCTGGATTTTTACTGAGTTTGATAGCAAAAATTGATAGAAATTCCAAAAAAAATTTCAATAAAATTGATGAAAATATTCTCATCGTAAAAGTTCCATTCTACTCGAATAAACTGAATCCAGTAAAACCATTTTACAACCCCATAAAAGGGACAAATTAAACTTTTAGTGGACGTAAACAACGCGGGAAGATGGAAACGATTGTAAAAATTTTATTCCTCCAGAAACTACTCTTTGAAATTTCATTCGATACTAGTCTTCGAGGAGATTAAAGTCGTTCGTTATTAATGGTGATGTCTCTAGGAGAAAATTTTAAAATTCGCTTGGATCTAGAGATTCAAAATCATTAACACAACTTTTTTTTAATCTATTGAGTTTCAATATTTTTATTGTGAAAATTGATAGAAATTCTATTTTTTTATTCAATAAAATTTGCGAATTTTTCTTTAATTTATTGAGTTTCAATTTTTTCATGGTAAAAATTGATAGAAATTACATTTTTTTGTTCAATAAAATTCCCGGAAATGTCATCATCCTAAAAATTTAAATCACTATTCCTTCGATTGGACTTGAAAACTAGTCTTTCGTGAGATTAAACACAACGGAACGTTCCCCCCTGTACTTTTCCTACTCCAGTTATCATCGACTCACCGTGAATTGTCGCCATGAGACTGAGATCCATACTATCATTCAAGGACTCGTCATTTGGCCCCATGATCGAGCGAATTTCATCGTCGTCCCTCGAGTGATTCAGCGCCGAGTCCAAACTTCCAGCTGACGCACTCAGTAAGGACGACGAGTCCTCGGGGGAGCGGCTCCTTAACGAGACACGGTCCAAACTTGATGCCAACAGACCCTCTGACTCGTCCAAAAGCTGTTGGGCACGGGTTCGACGTTTCGGGGGGAGTGGAGGGGGCGTCGAGGAGCCATTGTCCTCGGTTAAACTGATATTCGTCCTGGAATTATAGGACAAGTGTCTTCACGGGGCCATTCTAAAGCCATTCCAAAGACTATTTTCGCATGTAAACTCATTTCATTCGTGAGTTTTTTATTATTTTCGGCTTTTTTATCTATTTTTTTATCAAAAAAAAAACTATATGTTCCACGTGAAAATATTTGATGGAGTGAAACAGATTTACTTGAGGGAAATTAATAAACTTGATAGAAGAAAATTTAATATCTTTCACAAAAATTAAATTTTTGTCGTGATCATCAGAAATATCCCTAGAAGAATTCCAACTGTTGGCAGGAAAAAATATAATCTATTGTTCCACAATCATTTGATCTGAGAGAACTCCATTGGATTATACCATAGAAAGAATACATTGACGAGGAAAGAATATTTTTTTCCCAAAAAAATTGTCCCCTCGAAATTATCTAGTTTTGCCAATAACACAGCTTTCGGCAAGAAAATTGTAGTTTCCTCTTGAAATTATCATTCGTTCCATGGAAATTATAAGTGTTTATTGGACAAAGATACACACTTCTCAATAACATTCACTTGACAAAACCGGAGTCTCATATAATTCTCTGTAGAACAAATGTATTTGCCCGAAAGACATAAATGTCTCACGAGAACAATTACTACTAAGAAAATTATCATGGTTTGGTGGAAGCTTTCTTTTTGTCCACAAGTAAATTGATTCAACACGACAAAAGATCTCTCCGGGGGAACATACAATTTTCAGTGCAGTCCTCAGTGTAGTCCTCATTTTATTTTTTTTCTCAAAGAGGTTTTTATGAAACTTTACGTTTTGACAAAGTATTAACGTAAAAAATGTTAACGTTGAGGTAATGTTGAATTCAATAAATCATTGAATCAACAAACATTTTTTTGGGGTCAGAAATTCCATTCGGAAGAGAATTGCCAATTTCCATTTCTTTAGAAATGAAAATAATAAAATAATTGAGTTTTTTTCTGTAGAATCTTCACTAGAAAAACTAGTGTCTAAAATTAGAATACTTCTGTCCCCTTGTTCAAGGCGTCATCATATCTCCCAATTTTTATAACCGTCGCACATAAAAATAGAGAGAAAGTAATAATAATCACGCGTTGAAATTAGAACTGACGACTTCAACTCACCGAAGTGCGAGATGCACCAAGAATTATGGACCTATTATTGAACGAGTGGATTATCAGCTAAAAATACCCGCGATACTTCTATAATTATCTTATCTCGAAAGCTCTCCGTCACCTCCTCAGACTCCCCAGCGGGCTCTTAAATAACCATTAACGACCGCGAATGGGAAATTCCCTGAACCTCGACTTCTGATAGATTGATTTACCTGTCAGGAAGTGGCGGCTTTGGTGGTGGACTCGAATCCCTCAAGATGGACTCGGAGCTGTGGGAACTTCTCACTAAATTGCTACTTGCTGCCGTCTGCTCGAGGATCTGGCGCTCACGGGGTGTCAGGGGAATGTCCGGTAGAGAATTTCTTTGGGTTGATAGTTCATTTCCGTATCCTGAGGTTCTGCAATCATGGATTATTCGCATCGTGATTGATTTTTGCGAAAATATTCCATCGGAATCAATCATATTTTTCTACATCGAGGGAAAGATAGACCGATGCAAGTTCATTATCGATTCTTGATATCTCAGAATCTGAGGGGGATGGCAATTTTTACGAGGAAAGAATTGAGATCTAGATATTTTTTGGGGGAAATCACGTCGAAATTGATAATCATACGCTCGAATGATCGCCGTCGTAGGTTCTTAGAGACCAACCGGACTAAACAAATAAGGAATATACTTTTTCTTATTCATATTACGGTTTTATAGACTCCTCATTTCGTCTGCCTGTGCCTTTCTGTGTGTCCATCCGTCACACTGACTAGATCAGTAGCGAAGCGGTAAAACGGTTCAAGTCAACTTAGCTCTCAGCTGAGTTTTTGAGGAATATCTCGGAATCAAAGGGAGATAGCGAAATTTTCGTAATAACCTTTTTCGTAGCTCTCAATTCGCTCTATAAAAAAGGTTTTAACAAAAATTTTTCTATCTGCCTTAGATTCCGAGATATTTACTGAAAACTGACCAATAGTCAAAATCGACTTGAACCGTTTAACCGCTTCGCTACTGAGGTGGGCGCAGTAGTTCTGTACATTCACGCCTGGCGGCAGCAGTTCCACTCGAGGAGATAGGTCTAAGCGGACACCCATCCAAGTACTAACAAGACTAAACGCTGCGTAAGATGAGACGACAGAGTTTGGACAGAAAAGCAAGATGACGATTCCGTCTTACATTGATTAAGGTTTAAAATATAGGGGAGCATGGGGCAAAATGAAACACGGGGCAAAATGAAACAGTGGGAAAATCTCGTCATCTAAAGGAGATAGGACATTTTTGAAGAGGACCTTTTTTGTAGCTTGTAAAATTCTCTACAAAAAAGGTTTTCATGAAAATCCTCCTATCTCCCTTAGATCACAAGATTTTCTTGCTGTTTCATTTTGCCCCGTGTTTCATTTTGCCCCACCGTCCCCTACTACTCGACATTTAAGAATGGTAAAATAATAATCTAAATTCCCAGTTGATGATGAATTAAATATTTATTAAGTAAATAATACTAAATTTCTATCCAAATAATCGTCAATCTTCCTAACTAAATTACTGATTAATAAATAATTCGGAATTTGAATATTCAAATTGATGATGACTTCATTAACTAAAATTTTAGAGTAACATTAACAAATCGACTGCTTAATAATCTAACGGTAATTATAATTTATGAACATGCTTATTTCTGACCATTCAACTCCTTAAACTCAGAGTAATTCCTCAAAACATGTTCCACGAATTAATCTTTTATCAACAGATCTTTCATCCCTCAACAGTAGTTCCCCATTTCAACCCGATAAAGCCCCTGTCCATTGACATCGCCCAACCCCCGATTATCCTCTCAAAAAAAAATCTCCATATATCCATCAAACGGAACAAAGGTGCGATAAATCCTTTTGAGGAACGCCTATCGCACCGATTGAACGATACGTCACAGCCGCTCTATCTCAGTCTGTCGATATTCATTGGCAATGTTACCTGTTGTTTGTTGCCACCGGCGCTGGCTTCTGCCTGTTGGATATCTTCTCGTGTGCCAGTGCAACTAAATTTTTCACAGCATCCTCGACTAATCCTATCACGTGTGTCACGTTCTCTGTGTCCAACGCCGGGCATGGGGCAGACTGATTCCCATGGATTAGAACATCGTCGCAGAGTTTCAGCAGTTTGGCCAGGGCTTGGTAAACTTGGTTTGTGGCTGAGTTCAATGTTGAGCTGTAAGCCATCAGAAAGGATTTATTTTCTGAGAAGGAAACTGTTGCGGAAGAATCAGACGGAAATACTCATTTAAATGGCTTTTTCATTCGAGTTGAGCTCGATAAAATGGACATTTGTTTACAAATGAGTCAAATGGGGCTCAAATGGAAGCTCTGATGTTCGAACAAATGATAATTTCAAGAGGAAACTACAATTTTCTTTCCGAAAACTGTGTTATTGTCAAAACTAAATAATTTCGAGGGGACAATTTTTCTTGGGGAAAAAATATTCTTTCCTCGTCAATGTGTTCTTTCTATGGTATAAACCTATGGAGTTCTCTCAGATCAAATGATTGTCGTACAATAGATATTTTGCTGTCAACAGTTGCAATTCTTCTAGGGATATTTCTGATGATCACGATAAAAACTCAATTTTTGTGAAAGATGTTAAATTTCCTTCTGTCAAGTTGGCTAATTTTTTTTTTTCCCTCAAGTAAATCTGTTTCAGTTTTTCTGCAGAGCTAATTCTTTCTCTCAGTGGGATATCCTTAAGATTCCTTAAGGTCTGTTTCATCTTGCTTCTCCTCTTCTGTTCTACGTCATTGATTAATTAAGACAATTACCTCTTCTCATAAACGACGTACGACTTGAGCACAGTATGTATCGTGGTAACAGTGTCGAGTACGATGGTGCCATTGCCAGGCAGCATCTCGAGTTTCTTCTTGGAAACGACATCGCGAAAGTGAAGCAGTGCAAGCTGTACCTGTCTCACGTGAATGTGGAGATCCCTCAGTGGATTCTTATCAAGACTGTCACCCAGCGGCGTCTTTTCTCTGGGAGTTCGCGGGGACGAGGGTGATGCGGCCCGTGTTGCTATACCACTACCACCCCCACTCCCAGAGTTTATCCCCGGGGACCTCATCTGGGAGAGTTTCTCCAGGAAGTCCTCCTTGAAGGAACGCGCACGACGGGCTAGTTTGCCACCCCGCGCTTTTCCACTGTTCCTCTCCTCGACTTCTGTAACATGAGAAAAAAAAACACCATTTGTTATTTTAAAAAAATATTTGTAGCATTCATTCTCTTCGTCGAGTCGGCGAAAAAAAATTCTCAACTCAAAAATTTTTATTTGAGTATCTAATTACGATAATTACACACCGCAGGACAATCTCATTATTTTTAATTACTCTGTATCATGGAACCTCCCGTCATAATTGAATAAACATTAATTATGGTGATTAAGAGTCGCCGGGAGTAAAAACAAATACCGAAATGCGGGGGAAACTTTGCGCCATGAATTCTCAGTCAATGCGGATAAATAATCCTTTCTAAAAAAAACATGGGCAATATCTCGAACGAATGGAGAAAGTGAGGCGGTTTTCATGAATACAAAGAAAAGAGAATTGAATACCATTCTATGAAACATGAATAAACGAATCATAATTGTCCAAATCATTTAGGTCAGAGGAAAATAGAATAATTCTACTTTCTTAATATTGCGTTTACTAAGGTTTTCTTCGAACAAAGTTGATTAGAATTAATAGCAAGAATTATGAGATTATCTCACATATTTGACGTTAAGGATAGGAGAATCTGAATGCAATATAGTGAAAATGATGATCGATTTTTTCACTTTGAACAAATAATATTAATATCCAAATACAAAATTTCTGATATGAATAAAAAGAAGCTGTGACTCAATATTCCAAATGAAGTTTTAATTTTTAATTTGGTGCTGAAAACACGAGATGACAATATTCTAAGCACGGAATTATATTGATGAGATGAACAACAGATTAATTGAATTACCGTGTGAACTAACTAAAAATTGATAACAGTGTGGGCACGCACTTTTACCAGAGTATCAACAAACATTGAATTCCAGAAATTCACACTCTAAAGTGTGTTCTAGAAGGAATTGAATTGTAATTATGATTAAAATCTTATTCAGTGAGCATAGGAATTAAAACATGAGCAAATCATTTGTTGTAATATGAAAATTCAACAGCTGATAAATTGGGACATGATTCTCATCGGTCGTGTTGCCTTTTGTAATGAGAATGATTATAAACCATTAGTTTAAAAAAGGAGTATTGAATCCGAAGACAAATGCAATTTGCCTTCCGAGAGAAAATCCTCAACTACAAAAAAAATCAAATTCCCCTCAACTCAATATTATCAAACCTCAACCCACCAAATCCCCGAATTAATACCCAGCAACTCCCGAAAATTGCAATCGTCCGTTTTCCCCCAGTTGTTTCACTGGAAAAACAAATACAGATGCACGTGGCCAGGGGCCCAGGGGCGCCGGCAATGTTTTCCCATAGTCTGTACACCCCCAGAGGGAATACATGTTTCCCTTTTTGCCCGTTGCTATCGGCGTGGTATCGAGGTGCCAGCAGACGGATAAGAAAGGAGAAACGTGATCTGGCTCGCTTCCAGCATTTCAAGAATACAGTATTCCACCCCTCGTCACCCGCCCGCTGACGTTCAATGCACAGTGTCCGCAAATTGCTAGCCTAATTCCCCAAAACAAAGTCCATTGTATCTCACTTTGAATGTTGGGAATTTTTAAGTTATTCGAGGGCTGTCTGGACGAGGGGAATTAATTAGATGGAATTTTGTTTAAAGTAGATTTCATTGTTTGAGGATTTTATTAAGAGTCAATGAACTTAATTCAGTAGCGAAGTGGTAAAACGGTTTAAGTTGACTCATCTCCCAGTTGAGTTTTTGAGGAATATTTCCGAATCTAAGGGAGATAGCGAGATTTTTGGTATAACCTTTTTTGTAGAGCCGATTGAGAGCTACAACAAATGTAGTTATGAAAATTTCGCTATCTCCCTTAGATTCGGAAATATTCCTCGAAAACTCAACTCGGAGATGAGTCGACTTAAACCGGTTTACCACTTCGCTATTGAATTCAACTTGATGATTGATAATTAATGCAGAGAAAAAACGATTTGTTTTTAACATTTGATGAAATATCTCAGATGATTCAACAAATGAAATAAAATTTGAATGAGAAGAAGAATAGGAAAAGCTCTGTCTGTGTTGAATAAAAACTAGGATTTTGCAATAAAGAAAATATATAGGATTTCATTTGAATGAAGTTGATTTAATTTTCATTGTTTAAATTAGCTTTCTTCGTCTGATAATTTCATTAACAACCAATGAACTTGGCAATTCAACTTAATGATTAATAATTAATACATTGAGTTACTAAATCTCATTTAAGAAATTAAAAACTGTACATTTGATAAAATTCACTTCAATTAAAAATCAATTTAATTACAGAATTTCATTTGTCACTGATTGCAATGAATCCGAAGTACACCAGTAATTAATTAAAAGTTCATGCGGAATCACTCGACAGCTGGATATGATATGAACTCATCGATGAGTGAAATTCCCCTTTAATTACTCCGTCACGTATAATTACTCTTTCCGAATATTTGATTAACCAAAATAATCCATTATTCATTCTCTGCATTCCCGATGGAACGAAGAGTGATGAATAAATCCATGGAATTAATTAATGACTCCCGGAAACAAGGAATTGTTTAACCGGTTCAAAGACTGCCTCCTAGACCTGAAGTGCCTCGATTCCCCAGGATATTCGGTTTAATTACACGATCGAAGGGATACGATGATGTGTGGAGTTGGTATTCCCTTTCGGTTTTCCATTGTTTACACCGACGTGCTTGTAAACAGGAACAATGAAATGAAATGAAGTCGGATGTCCTCTGCGGTTGGTCATGAATGGTGAAACCATGTCTGTTCATTTGATTTTCGTGGTTTTGATGGGGATTGGAGAATGCCTCGTTGATGAGGCAAAAATATCGAATTAAAAGCGGAGAGTGGAGGTGCGAGGCTCGATATCGTGAGGATTTTCAGGGGGAATGACAGTGATTTGTGGAATTTCAACAGAAAATGGAGAGGGGATTTTTAAAAAGTTCTTTTGATTAATTTAAAATGTGATTTTATTTTATTAAAATTGTGGTGAGAATTGTATTCCTGTGGCATTCCAATTTGAAATCAATTTTAGTACTTGATGAAATTTATTGGAGAATATTCAGAAATTGGACTGTTTGAGAAAATTTAGAAAATGAAGGGAAATGAGGAAAATAGAAAGAGAAAATTGAGAAAATTATGCAGTTAAAAAATACATAGGATTTCTGTTTAAATAATTGTAGGTGAAATTCTATTCAAATTGTATATTATGTCATATCTGGAATAAAATCGAAATGTAAAAAAATGAAAAATGAATGAAAATAGGAAAAATAGAGAGAAAATGTAATTAAGAAAAATTAGAAAACATGCAAAGGTTCTAGATATTTTTGTAAATGAGGACTGTAGGATTTTGCAATGTAACAATATAGGATTTCATTTTAATCAAATTGAAGGTACAATTATATTTAAATTAATGGAATTTAAAAAAACCAAATAAAAATGCTCTTTTGATGAATTAAAAAGTTGTAATTCAATTTCATTAAAATTGTGGTGAGAATTATATTCATGTGAAATTCCAATTTGAAATCAATTTTAGTACTTGATGGAATTTATTGGAGAATATTCAGAAATTGGACTGTTTAAGAAAATTTAGAAAATTAAGGGAAATAAGGAAAACAGAAAGAGAAAATTGAGAAAATTATGCAATTAAAAAATCCATGGGATTTCTGTTTAAATAATTGTAGGTGAAATTCTATTCAAATTGTATATTACGTCGTGTTTGGAATCGAACCGAAATGACCAAAAAAAATCGAAAGATGGAAGAAAATAGACAAAAATGGGAAAATGAAAAAAATGTAAAAGTTGGTGGCTTCTGCATTGACTCCCCCCTTAACTTTATTATCTCACTTTGGCCCTCCACCCATTCCCGATACAGGCAGCACCCGTGTGTGGGTGGAGAGAATCAAGTTCTATTGACGACTTCGAGATTGAAACTCCAATCAGGCGTGATTCTGGCAAAGGAACAGGAAGCAGTGCACGGGGATAATACGAGAACAGAGAGCGTATGGCTTCCCCCTCACAACAGGGCTAGAGTGGGGCCCGTGGAAGAGATGAAGGACAAGCCCGAGGGATGAGAAATACGATATGCAAATTACTGTGATTGACTGGATTCACTGTTCTATCACGATCTCATTCCTTTCTCGTAGCACAGACCGGTGAATTCCAATTGGTTATTCGAGAGTGAATTTTTTTCAGCTGTGGGGGGGGGGGGGGCAATGG